CAACTCCCAGAATTCCCCAGCCATCCATGCTGGCTGGGGAATTCTGGGAGTTGGAAGTCCACTCATCTTAAAGTTGCCAAGGTTGAGAAATACTGCTATAGGCAGAGCTTTCTGACATTGTCCCTTGTTAACAAAGGTAAATAAAGTGGTGATTGTTAGGGACACATGTATGTTTGTATGTGCATATCTGTCTGGAACTTGGCTAGGATGGAAAGTAGAGAATAAGGGTTTTTGAAGGGTCATAATAAAAACACTGAACTTGCATCAAAGATCAGCATCACTGGGGCATAACAATTGCATGCAAAGGATTAGAAGCCTGTAGGCTTTAAAGCAGCCTTTCTCATCTGCAATCATTTTTGTTTCACAGCTTTTATGGTTTTATTGTTGTGAGCCGCTCAGAGTTGTAGTCTAAGATGGGCAGCCCTATGAATCTTTTAAATAAATAACCCTAGGCTGCGATTGGAAAATAAGCATTTTTTTTAAACTCCACGTGCCACGCTAGCACTTTTTACATACTGCAACTCAGCTGCTGGCCTGCTGCTCTGCTCTTGCTGTACACACAAAACATGGATTCTACAGGCTGGAAGTGAAGCATACTGTGAAGTTTTGTATTTTTCCCAGAAACCTGGGAATTATTTCAAAGGTTCCTCCAAGGTTTTAAAAAAAAAAAAAAAAGTTGAGAAAGCCTGCTTTAGAGCGTTATATGGGAGGGAACCGGCAAACAGATTAACGGAGCAGGGAAATCTGTGTAGGTTGTTAGCCATGATAGCTAAGCTGAACCTCCGTGGACAGAGACAGCATATCCCTAAGTGTTGGAGGTCAGGATCAGAAAATGTGCCTGTTAGTTTCCAAGTCACGTCCTGATGTCTTCCTGATGCCGAGTTTTTGAAAACATTTTCAAGAATGTTTTTGCTCTGTAAATGTTCTTTTTAGTAGCGGATTGCTTCAAACTGGAAATGAAACAGCTGAAAACCACACAGATTCATAGGAACAAAAGCAGCAATGTTTATCTGTTTTTATTTTAAAGTTGCCAAGGCTCTGTGTTTAAGCGAATGGAGATGTAATGGATAGACCCTGGATCAACCTTGCTCCAGTCTGTTGGGACTATCGCACTCATAACCTAAATCACTGTCAGCCCTATGAGGTTGACCAGACTAGGAAGCCAAAGCTATGAATGCTAATACTACTTTTATTATAAGGTTACTCTAGCAGAATCTTGCAAGTCTGAATGTGTGTCTCACCTCCCTGCCTTGATCCTAAAGAGAACTAGGGAGGGTCAAGTCTGAGACGCTTTCTCAAATTACATTTCTGCCTGGAACTCAAGGTTTTTCTTATCTGACCATTGTCTTGGCTGCAGCTCTAACTCTTGTTCCTCAAGGCTATTCTTATAGCCCATTTCAATCCTTTGAGGATCCAATCCTCAAAGGGCTGCATCGGCATCCTTCACAATGGATTTTTTAAGAAAGGCATTTGCTGGATTTCTCTAATTTTGCTCTCCCAATGTGCCTTTGTCCATCAGTGTAGCTAGCTGCCCTGAGTGACACAAACCAAAGGCATTTGGTACTTATGTACTTATTTTATGTCTAAAACAGTGTTTCTCAACCTTGGCCGCTTGAAGATGTGTGGACTTCAACACCCACTATCGGCTAGGTATTGTTTTAGACCAGTGTTTCTCAACCTTGGCTGCTTGAAGATGTGTGGACTTCAACTCCCAGAATTCCCCAGCCAGCCTTGCACACATCTTCAAGCGGCCATGGTTGAGAAACACTGGTCTAAAACAATACCTAGCCGATAGTGTTATGCTATCTCAAGACTATGGATGTTGCCATATGGCACATCTGGAGAAGAAAAGTCATCAAGCAATTTTAATTGCTAGCGTTTGTCCATCAGCTTCGTCTTAGAAAGCTGATGCCAAATGTTCTGGGGCAGTTCTTGTGCACAAATAGCAGTGAGCTCGAGAAACTTGAGCATTTCACAGCTCGTGAACATCAGGCTGGCAGCATCCTATGAGGATTTGTATTCCAGTTCCTAAACCAAGGGAGCTTACGTGGGCAGATAAAGCTACAGAAACTTGTGAACATCTGATGTACAGTAGGCGCCAAAGGTGCCGGCTCTTCATCTGCTTCACAGTCTGATGGAGTGGAATAGCTGATGCACTGCTAAGCCCAGGGAGGGAGGGACAGACGGACTAGCCACCACACACCCCTTAACCGTTGGCAATCACTTCCTAGTTTATTCAGTTCTTTGGTTGACAAGTCCTGTTAGAGAACTGGAAGAAGCCGCTTAGGGCACCGCGCAGTGCAGGAATTCAAGCTAGACCATTCCCAAGAGACAGTTGTCCAGCTTTGAGCTTGAACGGATTCAGAGAAGGGAAATTCACCCCCTCGTTGAATCGATGAGTCCGCTGCTGATCTCTTCTTGTTAGGAAGTTGTGCCTACATTTAGCTGCAATCTGCTTCCATGTAATTTAAAACCACTATTTTGTGTCCTGCCCTCTGGGATAATATAGAATAGGATATTGTTTGATTTGATTTATGTACCACCTTTATTTTATAAATTCGAGGCGCTGAACATAATACTCCCTCCTATTTTCCCCACCACAACTCTCTGAGCTGGGGTGAGCTGAGAGAGCAACTGGCCCAAAGTCACCCAGCTAGCTGTGGCTGCTTTTGGGACATCTGTGGTATTTCAAGTGTGTTACCATATATCCTGTTCCTCATAAAACCTGTTCCAGATCCCTGAATATCCTCCTTGCTGCTGTTCTTGCCTGTTCAAGTTTGGATATTTAAACATGTGGTACCCAGCAGGGTTGTCTGTAGCAATGTATGTAAAAAAAGGTGATGGAGTTTCAGTTGCATGGCTGGGACTGCCATCTTGACTTTTTTGCCTCCCTTTCAGACACCCCTGGTACCTAGAACTGGATGCAAGACTCAAGGTGAGCTCTGATCAATGCAGAATGAAATGATTCCTTCTTTTGATTTGGAAACCACCCTGTTAGCATAGCGAAAGGGGAACTGAGATGCCATCGCATCCATACCAAAAATGTTCAGTGCAAAAGTGGAAGATAAGAAACAACAGATTTGCTACCCATCGCTGACCAGACGAGACGCTATAGTACAGTTACTATCTAGTGTAAACAAGAATGGCTCAACTAAAGACCGGGTTTGCACAACAAGCTAGATTATGAGTTTAGTTAGTTTGTGGCCCAGTGTGTTGTGTGAATCTAGGTAATTGGATCACTCAGCAAACCATGGGTCCATGGTGTGTGACCTAATATTCACTGATTCCCAAAGAGATAAACCATATTTACATATTTGCATGCCATTCAAGAGAGAAAATGAAAGGGAACCACAAAAAAATGTAACACATTCTCCAGAAGCCAACACCCAGATAAGCAGGGATTAACTCCAGACAAATAAGCAGAAAGCAATACCCCAATCAAGGGTTCAACCAATCAACCAACCAACTAAGGAGAAAACCATACCTCCACCAACACTGGAAGGGCAAGCTACTGTATATAAACGAGCAAACCCTACACTAACTAGCACTGATGATGTTACTTAGCTGGGTAATGAAACATCTGCAGACAGACAACCAAGCTTAGCACCAAGGACTCCAGAGATCCCCAAAGATCCATTGCATAAACACTTGACTGTCATAAAGATTATTTTTAACTTACAAAAGGGTAGACTTTATTTGAACATTAGCATAAGGTTTTTTGATAGTCCAAGTATTTTGTGAATGGATCCAGTTCAAGTACGAAAGGTGGTCTCCTTGCCATGGGTGGGGTCTTCAGGTTGGTTGGCCGGCCGACCTTCCATTTTCTAGGGTTAAGCAGTCAATAGATTGATCCCTACTATTTTAAATAGTATATTTTCCAGGCCTCCAGAGAGGTACTTTTTCCTTGCCTTTTAACATCACAGCTGCATCTGCAGACTTAATGAGCCATAAACAAAGTTGACCACATTTTAGTACACAGCCTTGCGCAAACCCAGCCTGTGTGTAGTTTATAATTCAATGTGCTACATGAACCCAGAAAACTGAACTGGAGGAATTTGGACACTCAAAAGTGTGCAGCTTGTAAAAGAAGAGGGCTATCACTGAGTGGAAGAGCAGAAACTGCAGAGATCCCAGATCCCTTTGCCCTGTGAAACAACTTGTCCCTCCAAAATTAGGAAGGCCCTGATCTTATTGGCCTTTTGTGAGGTGCTGAAGACATGGCTGCCTGCATAGGCATTGGGCCAAAGCATTGAGCAAGTTCATCCCTAAGATGTAATATTTTGATTTTCGTCCTTGGTTGCCAGCCTATTCCATTTCAATTTGATTGACTGATTGATCATATTTATACGGCCGACAGGCTAGACAATAGAAAGAAAAGAGTCATGATGTAACCCTAGAGAGGTTAAAGTATAATTGTACTTATAACTGCTGTGAAGAAGATTGGAAGCTGCTGCTTTATCTTTTTTTATATCTTCTACTTTTCTTTTTTATCTTCCTCTTACTTTTTCTTTCTTGCACTTTCAGCTTTTTCTTCTATCTTTCCTTTCTTCATTCTCCTTTTTACTTTAGTTTGTATTATTGTCAAAAATCTCAATAAAAATAATTTTAAAAATAATATTTATACGGCCCACCCTGAGTTATTTTGTGAGTTGTGGCCACCAAAGTTGAAGAAATAAATAAACCCTAAATTCAGTTATTGGTGTTTCCTAGTTGGACTAGAAATCCTCAGGTTCTGGAAGACTGAGGCCAGCCAGTGGTTTTATCTGTACAAGTTCAGCTGTAAAATACTGTTTACAAATACTTCAATGGCTATGTTCAAGACAAATAATGTATGTCAATGTAAACCAAATCGTATTAAGCAATATATTAAGCAATATTTAAACTTAGAACACTGTGTGAATATGGTTTATGGTTTAGAGCAGTGTTTTTCAAACTTGGCAATTTTAAGATGTGTGGACTTCAACTCCCAGAATTTTCTGAGCCAACATGTTGAAGCCCACACATCTTAAAGTTACCAAGTTTGAAAAACACTGGTTTAGAGTGTTGTATAATCCTAGCCAATATTATTAGTACTAAGCAAAGTGGGTGGTCTAGCTCAGAAGCCTGGTTTACACAATACTTTTAAGACCATTTCCTAACCCCGAGTGAATAAATCACTATTAACTAGATTCACATCACGAAAACCAAACCAAGTCACAGCTTCACATGTTGTGCAAATTTATTTACGAAATACCCTGCCTTAATCTCAAGGGCTGTAGCCAGTGAGACTGTGCAATGAGGGCTTGTAAACCATAGTTGTTGGCTAGACTTGCAGGCTAAACCCATTGTTTATTCAATAAACCATCGATTGGTGCAATAAGCGTCAACCCACACGAGGCACAAATGATCAGGTTCAAGCTGTATTTTGGACACATTGCCCAAGGGCTTCTGGAGAAGGCTCTCGTGCTGGGAAAGGTGGGAGGAAAGAAGAGGACGACCAGCAGCGAGCGGGGTGGGCTCAGTTTCAGTGCCGGTGGGGGCACCGTTGGAAGACCTGAAGGACCAGGTTAGGGACGGATCCTCCTGAGGAAAATCTATCCGTGTGGTCGCTGAGAGTCGACGTCGACTTGACTGCACTTGATCAGAAAGTGCGATAAATTAAAGCACCCACCCTTGTTCCATCAGCCTGTATTCCGGAGCCCCTTTACTTTAGCGTTTTCTCCGGCTGTGGCTGCGGCTTTGCAATTCCCCGAAGTGCTGGTTCGAGAGGATATCCAAGCACACTCTGGGAACGCAGGAGAGGGGAGTTCTTCCTTACTTTGCTGCTCTCCTTCAACAAAAGGCCGGGCAGCCTTCCGTTCTCGGACTACCGCCTTGCAAAACCCCCTCCAACACTAGCACTCTGCATATCGCAAACGTTTCCTGCAACGCTCGGAGCTTAGCTGAAAACCCCTCCCGCGCTTTGCAGAGCCTCCGACTACGAGCCCCCTTGCCCCGGAATTCCCGTCACGTGACCGCCAGCCTTCGGGCGACTTCGGCTTTCATTGGGGCGCTCGCGTGACGTCATCCACAAGAGGCGAGCGGGCGTTCGGGCTGGAAGCGCCGGGTCGGGTCGGAGCTGCCCACTGCCAAGATGGCGGCGGGAGCCTGGAAGGTGAAGCAGGACATGCCGCCGGCGGGCGGCTACGGACCAATCGACTATAAGAGACGATTGCCCCAACGGGGGCTCCCGGGTGAGGATGGGGTCTTGAAACTCGGGCGCGTGGGCCCTCAGGAGGCGTCTGGCTCTCGGCCCCTCGCCTGAGCTGGGGCTGGCTGAACTGCCGTTAAACAAACCACCATGGGCTGTGTTCATATGCGGAGTCCCAAGCCGTGCTTGTCAAACCACGGTGGCTGCCTTCACGCGACATCCTAAGCCTGTAGGATGAGCCGGGACAGGTCGTTTGTCCCTACAGCTTAGGACCTGCTGTCAACCCATCCAATCGTGGTTTATTCAGCAAGCCATGGTTGAGTGTGTTGTGCAAGCCAGCTGAGCAGCTGGACGGTACGTTTGTGTGGGAGTTGGGGGTTCTCCACAGGTGCCAAAAGGAAATGGGAAGGGGGGCTCAGCCTTTCAACCGGCTTATCTGATGGATCCCCATTAGAGCAGCCTCTGAAGATGATCCCTTAACTATCCTCCCCATTCAGCAGGTTGTCCACGCTGGGTTCCTCTCTATGCCACTTCAAAATAAACCCCTCTCACTAGCTGAATGTGCTACAGTTGTGATTGTTTATCAGGGTCAGGATGCAGCTCCTCCTGCTAATCCCCCAAGTTTACCTTCTGAAAATGAGCAGGACTGGTAGCCTTAATACATCTGAGAGCAAACACCTAACATTTTGAAAATCCATTCTCAAAATGTCCCCAGATATTTGCTGGAAACAGCTCCACATGGCAGGTTAATTGAATGCATAACCATTATCTGAGATACCTGTTTATTGAACAGATTGGTAGTTATATTTGGAGGTATGCTGCCAGGGCCATTCTATATCTGTTTATTTGCAGAAAGATGCAGGCTTTTGTCCTACAAGGATGACTGATACAATACAGTCAAGAAGGTATGAAATGGTCATGATTAAAAGCTGCAGTGTGGTCATGGAATCAGCAAGCAGCTCCCTGAGCTTCATCCCTAAAGAAAAAAATAAGGTGTCTGTACAGTCTGTGAAAGCTTAGCCACCTTTGGAGATTTATTTTTTTTCTGGTTTTACTGGTATAATTTTTGGTGGCTGCTGACAATCATCAGGATCCCACTTTGTTGTTTCCAGGTTATGGCCTTCTTGCCATTGGACTTGGGGCTTTTGTTTTTGGCTCTTATGTCATTTTCAAATGGAACTGGGAGAGAAGGTAAGTTTCCAAACATTCCCTTTATTTGAGCTTAGGAGAAGGGCTGCCTACCCGTGACCTTTAAAAATCCAAATTGTAAAGCAGGCTGCACAACATTTGCCATCCCAGCCTTCAGACCTCTTTCCAAAAGTGGCAGCCAAATTGCTTGTCTGATGTGGAAGGAAATATTCAGTAATCAATAACTTGAAATTTATTTTCCATTTTTGTTGTGGTCCTGACCCCTTCTGCAGTACAGCCCTTTACAGGCCACTTTAAGACCAGGTGTAGCCCTTGGATTAAAAAAAAGGGTTATGCATCTCCGTTTTAGTGGTTTCCCCAAACAGGGTTCTGCAATCTGATAGGTTGAGTGACTACTTGCATCAGCCTCACCTGACACAGCTAGTGGTCGAGGATTATAAGACTTGGAAGAAGCTGATTTACTTTCAGCTTACTTTAAAGGCTTCCATCTTCACACAGTATAGAAACCCCATATAAGATTTGCATGGCTGTGAGCTGTTGAGTAAATTGGATTGATTCATCACACTAAGAGGAAAATTAGAGTTGGATTTTCTGCATAAAATGCTAAGTCACAAGTAGTTAGCCAAGCCGGGTTGCATGAGTGAAGCTTGAGAACTTAATTTACCACATTGGGTACATCAGTGGGGCAAGACCTCTTGGAAAGGGGAGGGCCTATACTATCCTAGTCCTTCACTTCTCCTACTGTGGACAAATCTATTGTTCTGAAGGAAGAAGTAAAGATGTGCCAGGATATCTTGCCTCTAGTCACCACTGCAACTGACCGATTCAGAGGAATCTCACCATCTGGTCCAGAAAGCAGATCCCTTCCATGACTTAAGCAAAACTAGAAGTTTTGATTGCTGAAGTACACAGTTCATCAAAATATTCCATAATTCCCCTGAAGTCGGCTTGCTGATTTTGCTAGGGAACTAATTGAAAAAAATGTGCATGACAGTCTTGGGATGCCTTTGTTCAGTACATTAACACATGCAGTGATTTGTCTGGCTTTGGTTCAGTATACTATGGGACTCTGCTCATTGTGGTTTATTCATTAAACCAAGATTAAGAAAATCTTGGCTTAGTTTGTTGTATGACAGGAGCCTGTATGTGCATGAGGGGTTCTGCAGAAAATCAGAGTGATTAATCAGTGGAGCAAGTTTTATGTGGAGAATCTTGGGATATTGCTGGAAACAGTTCTGCAGAGAAGTTTAGTGTTCCAGGGGCAGAGAACTTGGAAGTAGCACCCACCGGGGGGTGGGGGCGGGCTATATGTCTGTCAAAAGGCCAAGATGGCAGATGCAGCTTTGGAATGCAAGCACCGCCCCTTGTGTACCAGCATCTACAAAAGGGTGGGGTTGCATCACAACCCTGCGTCCACTGTTTTGCCACCCCCTGTGGATGCTGAAGAAACTCAGGGGAGGATGAACTTGCTTTATTGTTCCTGCTTTAAACTGGGATAAGGAATGTTCCTTCTTCCTGGATATTCTGGATAAGGTTGTGGTTGCATTGGAGAAAAGCAAGTCCAAGGCTTGGAATGTTCTTAAAGCTCAGCATTTTCTGTGCTCCTCAGTATTTCAGACAGGTGTCTTTCTCATTTCTGTGGAGTCCTTGTTGCTCTCTTAGCTTAGTCGTTTGCTTATAGACATTTCATTACCTGACTAGGTAACATCATCAGATGTTAAATATGATACCTGATTACCTAATCAGGTAATACCCAATTAGGGTATAGCGAATGATTACCTAGTTGGGTAATGAAATGTCTGCAAGCAAACAGCCAAGCTCAGAGAGGACCAAGGACTCCACAGTTCCATCTTAAGCTACATATGTTCTCTTCTGTTGGTTTCTCATTTCTACCTAGAGATGCCAGGATTTGAATCTGATGCCTTCTGCGGGCAAATCATTCTTTTACCACTGTATGGTATTTCCCATCCTGCTACCTTAGACTGTGCTAGGAAGGGCTTTTGTGAGTTGATGTCCACCAGCTTTCGAAGGGACCAGGTTGAGGACTCTGCTGTACTAGTCTCAGATTCTCCAGAAATGGAGATGAGAAATCCCAAGGTCTTGGAGACGTGGATGGCTTTCCACAAGTTTATTTCCCCTTTACTGAAGGGGGAATGACATCTCTTGTTATTGGACCTGGAAACCAGTCTTGTCCTTTCCTGGCTCATTTTATGGATCACCTCCCTGCTCTTTTCCTGCCTGTTCTAGACAACTAGCCTTTGAAGAACTGGAAGCGCGGATAGCAATGATGCCTCTCTTAATGGCCGAAGAGGACCGAAGGTAGGTTCAGTTCTCTAGGCCTGGGTGCTGAGAGACTTTTTACCTCCCCCACTCCTTTTATCTAATTATCTTAGATAAAGCATGGCTGGCTGGGGAATTCTGGGAGTTGAAGTCCACAGATCTTAAAGCAGCTGAGGTTGAGAAACACTAATCTAAGCATGAGGCAGGCGTCTCACTCCCCCAAGCAAATCTACCACCCTTTCTTTAACTGTCAGCTACTTCCAAAATACTAAGAGGCTTGAGGTCTTCAAAAACATTAAGCTTTCATTGTTTCAAGCTGACTGACACATCAGGCTATATCCTGGCTTGTTTAATCAGTTTACTCCCCAAACCATAGTTGATTAGGTATACACATAATGCTCAACTGTAAATCACAGTTTACAGACTATAGGGTTAGGTTTATATAACAGCTCTCAAAGTGGGGAATCTATTCCATTTTTCAGTACAGTAGAAGTTTTTTTTAACTGTGTTGCTTGTTTTGTGAGTATATATGTGTCGTTTAGACAGCGTAGGTCTCCATTGATAGTGTGAGCTTCCAGGAGAGATTACTCAACAAATCAGCCACAAAATATAAATAAAAGCAATACTATAAAATATTACACTGTAATAAAAAAAATAAACCCAGCTTATAAAGGTAAAATAGTAGAATAAAAATAACAATCAGGAGCTATATAAATATTTTAAATAAATAATGTCAGGATGAGCTACTGCTCAGGTCCCAACCAAACTTTGAAAATAACTTTGTGAGATAGGGACAAAGAGCAGAAATCAACCGATTCTAGAATTGGAAGACTCATGGAGGACATCCAACCTGTCTGAGGTGGGATTCAAATATGGCATCAGTTATTAATCCAGCCTCTGCTTGATTTCAGTAAGCATCTTCCCAGTTGCTGAGACAGTTTCTACCTGTTTATAACCATTGCTTCTCCTAAAGTTTAGCCAGAATTGCTTTTCTGCAATTCCCATGTGTTGGTTCTGCTTCCCAGAGCAAAAGAGAACAAAGGTGAATCTATGGGGCATGGGGAAAAACAGCTGATGCTGCACCTGATTTATTGGAAATATAAGGCCATGTCCTGCTGGGTTCAACAGTTGTGTTAGCTGAAGCCAGCTGATAAATGAAAAATGTACAAGTGGAAAGTGGCTGTGTTGAGCCATCATGTTTCTCTGAATGCACAAAAGTTGGCTTCACACTACATACTGAACCATCAAATAGTTTGTTTAGCTTTGTCTTAGCACATTGTGTCTATTCTTCCATTCTGTTTTGCAAACCATGGTGATTGTTTTCCCCATTATATTAACTCAGCCAATTATAGTTCATTCAATAAATGGTGGTTAAGTATATCACAACAGTATGCTGTGTGAACATGGTGCTGATAGAGTACCCTGGATAGCTAAGAAGGCAAATGGATCATCAAACAAATCAACCCAGAGTACTCACTTGAGGCACAAATAACCAGACTCAAATTATTTTTTGGACACTTGATGCAAAGACCCAGTTCTCTGGAGAAAGCTCTAATACTAGGAAAGGTAGAAGGAAAGAGAAGAAGAGGACGACCAGCAGGAAGGGGACTGGACTCAGTTACAGCAGCAGTAAATGCACCATTGGAATAACTGAAGGACCAGGCTGGAGGCAGATCCTCCTGGAGAAAAATTTATCTATGTGGTTGCTAAGAATCAGCACTGACTTGATGGTACCTAATCACTAATGATGGGTGCAAAACGAATCAAGATGCCAATTCACTAGGAGAAACAAGATTTGTCTCTTCTTGACTGCAAAGAGATTTTCTTTTCTGTTAATTGTCAAGAACTTGACAGAAGAGCTAATTTTCCTCTGGGGCTTGTTCCTGGAGGGTGAATCCAGAAGATTATAAATCTTCGTTAAACTGCTTGCAGTTATGAACAGTAGTTAAGCTGACAAGAACCTCTGGAGCTGAATTTACAAGCCTACAGATTTAAAACTCTTGCTTATTTTTCCTGAACTTTCGGATCTCTTATCTTGTTCTTTTTTCAAACCTTTGCTAGAACTTTTTTTGATCAGGATGTATAATTATCCCTTCACTATACAGGTGGATTATTTTTTTAAAAATTAATTTGCAATATTGCTTTCTGGATTCTTTTTTTAAGGGTTTAATAGCTTTGGTTAACAAACACACTTCAAGACTTCCTTCTATTCAAGATTCCAGGAAACATCATTTGGCCTTCAAGTTATCTGTTAAGCAAAGTCCAACTTGGCTGATACCCTTCCTCACATATGGATAGGAAAAAATTCTTACGATGTGAGGCAAAGCCCAAATTAAAACAGACCCATTCCATAGTTGGTGGTCTCTCCCTGTTCTCCTAGCTGGGCGCTACTGGGAAAAACAGGACAACGAAGAAAGTATTGATCAAGGGCTTCCCACCCAGCGCCTGTGGATATTCTCCACTAAAGATGGGCCCTTCCTGACTATGTTCTGGAAAGCAGTGAAGGCCTGGCTGTCCTCAAAGGCCATCTAAGACTCCTGAAGAAGTAGCGCTTGGGAATTCTTGGATGATTCTGTGGTTTTTAAGGGTGTTATATTTTAACCTTAATACTGTATTAATGGAGCATAAGCCCCTCAGAGTTGTTTTCAATGGCAATGACAGGTAAACCCTCGTAAGTTAATAACGATAATAAAAAAAATAATAGCCAGTTTGGTGTAGTGGTTCAGGCATCAGGCTAGAAAGCAGAAAACTCTTAGTTCTAGTCCTGCTTAGGCACAAAGCCAGCTGGGTGACTTTGGGCCAGTCACTCTCTCTCAGCCCTGGGAAGGAGGCAATGGCAAACCAGTTCCAAAAAACTTTTCCAAGAAAACTGCAGGGACTTGTCCAGGCAGTTGCCAGGAGTTAAGACTGACTCAAAGACAATCATACCAATATTATAGTTTATTAAACTTGTACGCTACCCAGCTCTCAGTGATTCTGGGCGGCTCACAACAATCAAAGAAATTACAATAAAACAAAAAATAAAGATAAAAGATGGCAAGCGTGATGTAGTGAGGGGTCTCACCCTTCCTCACCAAAGGCCTGAGTGAGGAGCCAGGTCTTTGTGGCGCCTCTAAACAACAGCAGAGTGGGGGCCATTTGGATCTCAGGGGAAACCTCATTCCAGAGGGCAAGTGCTGTCACAGGGAAGGCACGCTTCCAGGATCCCGATAGAGGACATTGTTTAATTGAAGGAACCCAGAGCATGCCAACCCTGCAGGACTTAATTGGCCAGGCAGATATTATGAGAAACAGGTGGTCCCTCAAGTAACCGGGCCCTATGCCATGTAGTAAATATGTGTGTGTTTACTCCTCCATGAACAGAGAGAGTGATAAGGATAGCAACCTGCTACTTAGCATGAAATGTGAATTCATAATGTGTTTCAGCTAGATTTGTTAAGCTGCAACCGCAAGGTGGGCCTTCAGCATTGAGCCGTAAAAAAGGATCAGCAAAATAGCACCAGAGAAACTGGGATTCCCTGATGGTAGCTGCAGGAGCCCAAATTTAACAAGAAATCTTGCCAGATGTTGTGTTCTTCCCGTGAGAATATCAAAATATGGCAGCGTTTGGGCTGAACTGTCAACATCTGGTGAGGTTTTTTAAATAAGTGTTCAACACCTGCACCATTGTGCAAGACCATATGGTGGTCCCCAGCACTTCAAAAAATTGCCGTGGCTTATGGGCCACGCAGGCTGGGTTTACTGACACTCCGAATCAAACCCCATGTTGACTTTGTGCAGGGGGTAAGTTTGCCCAAAGGCAAGAATTCATTTGCATGAATACCGGGCTGCTCCACTCCCCCCCCCCAAATATGTATATATGTGAGTCAGATCATCCTCATTCTCTCTTTATCTCCTTTATCTTTTTTTTTTCCTTTTTTTTTGTGGAAGGACACTACGCCTCTTGCGTCATAATTTTGATGAGGAAACCAAGATCATGAAAGATGTTCCTGGCTGGCAGGTTTGAATCTTTGGCGATCTTGTAATAAGAGGAATTTCTCTTTCTTCCTGTTGCACCCTCCCCCCGACCCCTTCCTCACCCCCACCCCTTGACACTTGGAGGCCTTTCCCTACAGATGGGCCATTTATGGGTGGATTCTTGGGGGTGGTCCTAGATAAAATTTTGGGGCAGCCAGAGAAAGGAGCTACTATGCTCTCTTTCTCCTCGAGTGGCCAGAGGCAGTTTTGCAGACATTAATCTCATGGAACTCTGGAGCCCTGATTTTTTGGTCAGGGAGGGAGTAAAGCGACCAGAGGAATCAGTAATTGTGCCGCATTCGATTCAGCCAGAGCCAGATCCTGCCTCGTTTGACTTGTCACTAAAAGGGGTGGGACTAAACAGGCCATTTCAATGAGGCATTAAGCCCCACCCCTTTGCAGTGTCCCTGCAGGGTGATGCAGGAGCAGCCGAGAACTGGTTTGGCTTGGAGCCCCCCAATGCATTTCCCCAACTTGGACCCTGCTGTCCCTCCTTCAGGGCCTGATCCCTCCCTTGCAAGGAGGAGAAGCTGGGATGCGGGAGCCGCAGCTCTGATTTGCAAGCAAGAGTACCAGAACAAGGGAGGGTAGACAGTGCGGAAACTCCGGTTCTGTTTGCGCAATTGGGCCCCTGCTCCTTGCTTCCATTTGCTGCAGCGTTACCTGCCTGTATCCCCCTTGAGTACTGGCTGAACTCTTCCCTCTCTCTTCTCCCAGGTGGGGGAGTCTGTCTTCCACACCACACGTTGGGTGGACCCCAGAATTGAGGAATTGTACTACCTTCACCCAGCAAAAACTCGGCAACAGGCCTACTTTGGGTTCTCATTGAGCACATAAGCAAGGATTGTGGAAGGAACCATGTCTCTTGCTTTCCCAGGATGGGACATATTTCTTAATAAACTAATGCTCTGTGGAGCATCAACCCTCTGCTGCTGTCTTTGTCTTTGCTGCTTTTTCATCTTCTCTTTTGCCTATTATTTTATTTCCCGAAACAGTTAGCAAAAAAAAACTAAGCAGGAAAAATATGTAGTCGTCAACATGCTCATAAAAACAACAAAACCTTCAACTTTATCCCAACGAATGAATCCAAAAAGTAGCGTGAGAAATTGGCAGATGAATAGAGACAAATTTAGTATAAAAAATGTATTTTGACTGTTTAGTGGTGAAATGTCCAAATCAGCTGACCCTTTCCACCTTTACTGTATTAGATATTCATTCAACTGTTGCTAGTTCCCACACAACTTTGTACCACTTTTTTTTTTTTTATGAAGAATTTTTTCTGGGCAAGGACCTATGGTGGGTTAGACATCCCCGTGAGAGTCTCCACGAGCAGGGACAGCAGCACAGTGAAATCTGCCAGGTGGCAGATTCTGGCTGACAAAATTCTCTCCGGAGAAGGAGAGATTGGGGGGTCACCCACTTGCACTCTGGATAGCTGCTCCTCGTGGAAAGACCACAGGAATTGAATTTCTTGAGGTCGATTGGGAGTTGAGCAGCTTGGGAGTTGAGGAAATATCAATTCACCCAAAATTGCTGTGTAGCCTTTACAGACATGTGACCCACAAAAATGTCACTTTCTTGAACACTTTTGGATATTCCAAACAGCAGGAAAGAACAAAGGCATTCAGTGAGTTGCCTTCTTTTTGGAATTAAGAGAAAAAAAAATACTAAAAGGATTTTAATTTAAAAGCAAAAAGCTTAACAAGATTGTGATTCAAGAAAGTTTTAAATGGATAAAGGGAACGGTAATTTTAGAAAACGGAAGATTTTTTTTTCTGACAAAAGTGCCTTTGAAAATAGTAAAATTAATCAGAGAAATAAACTGGACCTTTGTGGGAATGCTGATTGTTTATTATTAAGGAACGTAAATAATTGGTGTATTTTCCAAAATAAGGAGATAAGGATAATATGAGCCAGACTGTGTGACTGTAACTATGGAGTGCTAATTGGGATTAAAGTATTAAAGACAGAGAGAAGCGAGACGGGGAAAAAAGAAGCCTGCCTTTTACTTTCACCTTAGTAATTGATATACTTTCACTTTTTCATAATGGCAACCACAAAAAAAAAGCAAAAACAGGAGAAGGAAGGAGAGGTTCACTAGAACAACTTACAGACCAGGGCATTGCACCAGATTCATCACAGAAAATGTTTGAGGAATTTGGCAGGAAGATGACTGCAATGGTTGCCAATAGTTTGGATGTTTTTAAAAAGGAAATGGAAGAAGGATTTGTACGGATAAAAAAGGGTATGTAAAAAATGTTGGATTCAAATACGATGATAGGATTTTTAAAAATATTCTTTTTTCTATCTTCATTTCTGTTTTTTCTTTTTCATACTTTGCTATATTTTTTCTTTCTTATCTATGTAAAATCTATTAATAAAATTTTTTTTTAAAAAAAATTGTAGAATAAAAGACAAATTGAAAGGGAAAAAAGGAAAGAGAAAAGAAAAAAGTGCAAGAAATAAAAGAGAGAGGAAAAACCCCCTAAAGTTAAGAAATGAATGGCTTTCAACAGATCATTACAATCTTCTTATCCCTCCTCTCTTAGATGTTATACAAGTCCCTTAGCCCCTTGTTTAGTCCACGTCTTTCTTAATCTTCAAATCCATCGTTACTTCTTTCAGCAAAAAATCCATCTAAGGTTTTCAGTCTTTCAGAAAAGTTTCTGTTCTTTTTTCCTCTGACCAAACATGTTCTTCTTTCTTTGTCATTTCTGCGAATTCTGAGAGTTTCACAATCCATTCCTCCACTGTGGGAATTTCAGTATTCTTCCATCCTTAAACTTTGTACCACATTTTAACCATAAATCCATGTTTATTTTTCTGAGATGCAATAATCATTTGGCCTTCATCAAAAAGAAAACAAGCGGTACTTTGCCTGGTTGATTTTCCTTCAGATCTTCAGCCAGTGACAAAAGAACTACGTGTGATCTAAGGTTGGTTGTACTTTGAAAGGCTGTTTTCCAAAATTCTGAGCATTTGTTACCAAGATGACAATAAGTTCCTTTTTGTGTACACTTTGTTCACCAGCATTTCTTTCTCATGGAACCATATACCTTCATGAACTTAATTCATTCCACGATTCTGGTCATGAACCGAATCGGTCGCCAACCGAATCAAATTTTCCCATAAGATTCAATGTAAATAAGGTTAATCCATTCTGAATCATATGTATTTTTTTTAACCACAAAAATATGAAA